CCTCTCTTAGACCTTCAAAAACATTTTTGAAAAAGCCACGCCTCCCTTAGACCTTCAAAAACATTTTTGAAAAATCCACGCCTCCCTTAGACCTTCAAAAACATTTTTGAAAAATCCACGCTTCCCTTAGACCTTCAAAAACATTTTTGAAAAATCCACGGCTTCCTTAGACCTTCAAAAACATTTTTGAAAAATCCACGCTTCCCTTAGACCTTCAAAAAAATTTTTAAAAATCCACGCCTCCGATAGACCTTCAAAAACATTTTTGAAAAAAATCCACGCCTCCTATAGACCTTTAAAATTTTTTTTAAACCAGTAGGGAAAGTAGTAACTTCGGACGGGGCCGACTATATGATACCCATCACCATGGACATGTGAAGAACCAGTAAAATGAAATTGGATCTATAAACATGTCTTTCTGCAACCTATACTAAAGTTACGAAACTTTCGTGCAAATTTCGTACAAATCGGAAGATATATAGGGACTTTGGTACACCATTTATATGAAATCGGACGAAAATATATATGGGAGCTATATCTAAATCTGAACCGATTTTCATGAAACTTGGCAGACATCATTCTAGGCTCAATTCAGTACGCTATGCCAAATTTCGTGCAAATCGAAAGATATATATTGACTTTGGTGCACCATTTACATTAAATCGGAGGAGAATATATATGGGAGCTATATCTAAATCTGAACCGATTTTGAGAAAACTTAACATACATCATTCTAGACCTAATTCATAACGCTGTGCCAAATTTCGTGTAAATCGAATGATATATAGGGACTTTGGTATACCATTTACATTACATCGGACGAAAATATATATGGAAGCTATATCTAAATCTGAACCGATTTTTTCGAAACTTAACACACATCATTCTAGACTTAATTTAGTACGCGCTATGACAAATTTCGTGCAAATCGAATGATATATAGGGACTTTGGTACACCATTTACCTTAAATCGGACGAAATTATATATGGGAGGTATATCTAAATCTGAACCGATTTTCAGGAAACTTAACACACATAATTCTAGACTTTATTTAGTACGATATGCCAAATTTCGTGCAAATCGAATGATATATAGGGACTTTGGTACACCATTTACATTAAATCGGAGGGAAATATATATGGGTGCTATATCTAAATCTGAACAGATTTTCCGGAAACTTAACATACATCATTCTAGATTTAATTCATTACGCTGTGTCAAATTTCGTGCAAATCGAATGATATATAAGGATGTTGATACACCATTTACCTTAAATCGGACGAAAATATATATTGGATATATATATATATATAAATCTGAACCGATTTTCCGGAAACTTAATACACATCATTCTAGACCTAAATCATTAGGCTGTGGCAAATTTCGTGCAAATCGAGAGATATGTAGGGACCGTTTACATTAAATCGGACGAAAATATACATGAGAGCTATATTTAATCTGAACCGATTTTTGATAATTTCAAAATGGTTCATCCTTGGGCCAAATAAGTGACGTATATCAAATTTCATCCAATTCGGATTGTAGACCCCTAATAAAATTTTCTTTAAAAAAGCCACGCCTCTTGTAGACCCTTGAAAAAATATTCCTTAAAACAACCACGCCTATTCTAGGCCTTGGAAAAATATGCTTTAAAAATTTCACGCCTCTTTTAAGGCATGACAAAAATATTCTTTAAAAAATCCAGGACTCATCACTATTTCTATAATAAATAATAAAATCTTAAAAAAAAATATTTGCAATCAATCCACGCCCTCTATAGACCATGAAAAAAATATTTATAAAATATCCACTCCTACTATAGACCCTGAAAAAATATTCTTTAAAAAAATCTGCATCTTCTAAAGACCATTGAAAAAATATTTTTTAACAATTGATGCCTCACGTTGACTCTAGAAAAGGTATTTTTAAAAAATCCACGCCTCTTGTAGAACCTTGAAATACGGGGACCCTGAGAATTGTTGCTCAAAATGTTTGTATACCTGTGTAATTAACCCGCCAACCATTATTTAACATTTGAAGACTAACATCCATTCAGTCAGCCAGCCATCCATCCATCTATCTATCCTTTCGTTCGTATTTTGGGTCCTCAGAGCTTAAGCAACATATGTCATTGTTGTTGTTATTATTGTCGTTGTACCAAATGGGATTTGTTGTAATGTCAGTGTATCCTTCAAAGTTGACAGCAGCAGCAGGAGCAATACGTTTCGTGGAGTGCCTGTGAATGTTGATGAGTGGGTTTGGTTTTGTGAAAAACTAATGGCACTCGAAGTCATACGCATTTGGGAAAAAGAGCATCAAGATATGCATATATGTACGAGTATGTGTGTGTGTGCGAGTCACACACACACACACACTCTCGTTTGCATATATACTGAAAAACCACTCATAAAATATAAAAAAAGGACAAACAACCAAGCAACCAACAAACCACAGATAAGTCAAGAGGCCAAATAGTACAAAAGTAAAAAATATATATATTTTGAAATGTTTCCTAGAATGAAGGGTTTGATGATGATGGGGGACTTTAATGGATTTTTGGCCTAGGGCAGGTTTTTTTATTGGATGAGGGTGATTACTTTTTATATGACTTTATTTTTATACTAGAGATGCTATTAAATTTAAGATTCTGAGCTCTAACAACTCAGCCGAGGCATTTACCTTTGGTTCCTTATTTTCCAGAAGTAGAAATAAAGTCTCAATTTCTATATACCTTTAATAATAATGACACTCCCAAAAAGTCCAAAGCCCTTTAGGATCTGCTAGAATTTTCAATTATATTTTCCTTTATATTGCCTCGTAGGGATTAATAGCTCTTCAACCTTTTGATTTCTACGACTTATTTTTCTTTCAATAAGAATTTTCTTTCATTTCTTCGAATCCATTACTTTTTCCTTCATTTTTCATTCCAAATTGTTTTCCATTTCTTTTTTCGTCCTTATTGCAAATTATCCTTCAGCCTTTACTGTGACGAGCAATTAAAATACTGATTTTTTGTGTGGACTTCCTCTTTCACCTTGCATTCTTTAGGTGGTCATTATAGCTTAACAAGATGTGGGCATCTCTTCCTCCTGTCTTCCTTTTACTTCCTCCCCTTTCTCCTTTGCCATGGCAACAACAATTCTTGTTAACCATTTGAAAAAAAACAGGAATTATTTTTCGTTTTGTCACCATTTGTTACCTTCAGGTTAGGAAGTGCACATCCTCTTTTCTGTCAAATGTGACAATAAGGTAAAGGGTGGGGTAGAGGGAATCTCCATTAAATGAGCTTACTTGAAGCGAACTGGTAAAAAAAATCACTTCACAAATGTTTTCTATCACCTCTTGAAGGGTGTAATTTAATATCTACTTCTGTTCCTTATTTTTTTGTGTCCTCTTGGTCATCCGTCTTCTTTTCGCCCTCCTTGAAGAATTTAATTTTGTCTTCGTTTCTTCTTTTTTTTTTGGCAAGAGGAAAATTAAATCATCTTGGATTTATTAAAGGTGACAAATAAGGGGATTCGTTGAATGGATTTTTTAGTGGGGGATTGTCTTGAGAAGTTACAAAGGGAGATTTCTTGAAATTTGTTTTTTCTTGTGTAAACTTTAAGATGGCATATATTCTCAGGAGATTATATACCAAAAACTTATTTGCAGGAAATTTCTCTCTGAATGCCATATATATCAAATATACTACCCGCAAAAGGTATTGCCTTCAAAAAAACCTTAAAATTTAAGAAAAGCCTTAGAAGGTCATCTAGATAGAAGGCCTTCAGAAGATGACCAGTTATTCTATGAGGATGAAGATGACCTTCAGCTCATCTGTGAGGAAGAAGGAAGAAGAGCAACTACAACTTTGTGGAAGAAGAAGGCCTTCTTAAAGAAGTCATTCAGCGTCTCCATATGGAAGCCACTTCTATGAAGAATACTTTCAACTCCCACATAAAGAAGAAGGCCTTCTATGAGGGAAATCAAAGTGAGGAAAAAGAAGATTTTCAGCTTGTCTATGTGAAAGAAAAACACCTTCAGGTCTTTTGTGAGGAAGAAGAAGACCTATTATTCTTCCCGAAGGAAGAAGAATACCTTCAGTTCTTCTATGCGGAAGAAAATGGCCCTCAGATGTGCTATGCGGAAAAAGTTCTAATGATTTTCTAACAAGAAGACCTTCTGAACTTCCAATAAGCAGAAAATGCCGGCTTCTTACAAGATCTTTTGTATTCCAATAAGATGGCTATGATATTCCTATAAGAATTCCTTAAACTCTTGTTTGAGAAAACATTCCAATATTCTAATAAGAACAACTCCTTCTGGACTTCCAATAAATAGAAAATCCCGTCTTCTTACAAGAAGATATTATGTATTCCTATAAGAAGGCTATGATAATATAAGAATTCCTTAAACTCTTCTTTGAGAAAACGTTCTAATCTTCCAATAAGAACAACTCCTGATATTCTAATAAGAACTCCTAGCAGTATTCTAATTAGTAGCCCGATTAAACTTCTAATAAGAAAACATCCTGTTCATGCAACGATAAGATCTCACGATTTTCTTAAAAGAAGGGCTTCCGGTCTTCAAACAAGAAACCTTCTGGTCTTCTAATAAGAGGAAGTTCTACTCCTCCAATACGTATAATAACAATTCTTCTTATAAGAAGAGTTTTATAACTATTCTTCATTGAAATATATCTTAACATTTTTTTATAATAAATCCTACCGACCGTCTAAAAAGATACCCTAAGGGACTTCTAATAAGAAGACCAATAGATGTTCTAATAAGAATACATATTGATTTTCTAGCAATATAATTGTTATAAGAAGACCTTTTGTATTCATATAACAAGGTCATGATATTCATATAAGAATAAGTTAAAGATTTCTTTTAGAAAACGTTCTAAACTGCTAATAAGAAAACCTTATGATATTCCAATAAGAAAACCTTTCAATAATATGTAGACCGATTAATCTTCTAATAAGAAAACCTTCTGTTTTTGACGTGGTTCAAAAAGTGGCTATCATTGGAGCACTCCAGCATTTAAATGTGAATAAAACTTTTGTGTCTCATACCATCGCTCGTTATCGTGATGTTAGTAGCCCGACGTCAAGGAAGTGGACGGATGAAGAAAGCAACATCAGCAGAAATGGTTCGAAAAGTAAAAAAAAACGACATATCGCAATATTCCATTCGGCAAATATTGAAAAATGAGCTCGGGGTAAAGCCATTGAAATTCCAAACAGTGCAAGAACTTACACTGCAACACAAAGAAAATAGACTCAAAAGAGCTAAAGAGTTGCTTCGCTTGCACGAAAGTGGTGAACTGCCGAATTTGGTTTTCTCCGATGAGAAAACGTTCGTTGTCCAGCAGTTTGTAAACAAACTTGCCAAAGTGGTCAGTTGAAAATGAGCACCTTCGGTTGGCCACCACAACTCAAGCGCCGGCCATGGTGATGGTGTGGCCGACATAACAGCCAATGCCCGCTCTCCGCTCGTATTAATCGACCGTGGCATCAGAATAAATGCCGAATATTATCGCGAAAATATTCTGGAGGGGATATTAAAGCCTTGGACACGTGAACAGTTTGGCCGAAGAGCTTGGACATTCCAATAGGACTCAGCACGTGCCACCCAAGAATGGTTACAAAATGAGGTTCTTCGCTCGCGCACAATGTCCCCCAAAATCTCCGGATACCAATCCGTTGTGTCTATTGTGTCTGATGTATTTTGGAAAACAAGTTTGGCACTAAAAAATACCAAAGTGTCGATCACCTCAATCAAGCTCTTCGCCGGGAATGGGCCAAAATACCACAGAGCAGCGTCTGACGGTTTCATTGGCCGTTTGAAGGCCACAATTCGTGCCAAAGGTGATCGATTCGAACAAATCTAAACTTATTCTAAAATATGATGCTATTTCCGACAACGAAAGCCTTTGAAGAGTATATTAAAAACAGAAGCTTTTAAGTTATGTCGTGCTAAAATTTTTACTATAACGTTCATGAAGAAATCCTGTATATGTTTGTTTGTCACTATTGCAGGTTTTTGTTTGCGATCACATACCTTCAGTCAAATTGAATGAGGAATATTTTTGTAAAACAGATAATTTTTCTATTTCGAGTTCTTGTATGTCTTTTTTGCCCTATAATAAAAATCCTCTAAATTTTTGTTTGAAAAATATTCCAAGATTTTTGAAAATTGAAAAAAAATATTAGAAAACAAAACCTTTCTGTCGCTTATATTTAAAAAAAAAATCCACTTTTATAATCTTCTCGAAATACATTCATTTTCTTTGTTGAGGGTGCCGTATGATTGTTATTTATGTAGAACCACTGAGCGTATGATTTGTGGCAATATGTATACGACCCATTTTGAAAATAATATTTTAGAATATATTTTTTTTTTTGATTTCTTTGTTGAGAAAAAAGTTATTATATATTTTTGCACTGGAAAATAGGAGCTACTACAAGAGAACATTTAGACCACAAATACATTTGTAAATAATAGATCTGACAGAAGATTGTAAAAGAACTATGGAGGATATATTGTATATAATTCATAGAAGGTTATCTATTGAAAGTACAAAACCACTCCTGATGACAACCTATATGTTATTGACCTCACCAAAGTCTGAGGAGTTGGCCAACTGCAGTAGTGTTTTCAAAAGTCCAGTAAAGTATCTCCAGGAAATTTTCGGTTTTTCTGGTCGCTCCAGAGGCCGCAGTTTTGGTCCGAACATCGTGAAATTTTACATGGAGAAGGGGATCGCGCCTAAGAATAAGCGTGCCTGTTTTGATAAAGATCGGTCAATATATAGAGGGTCAAATGAACCCTGACTTTTGTGTGAAAAATTAAAAATTTTTTATTCTGGGGCGTATATACTTGCTCCTGAAGGACATATACTCGAGATGTTGATAGTATGTCCAAGATGAGTTGTTGACCTTCAAATTGGTACCAATTATATGGCTGTATGTACTCCGATGCGGGAGTTATACGTAATTAATTAAGGGTGACTATGTGCATATTATTACTATTACTCCATTAGAGGACGGAAATCTCGCGCTGATCGCTTTGAAATTGTACATGAAGTTCCGATAATGGTCAGAGACAACGCTTATAAATTTCGGTGAAGTTGAGATTTCATTCGGGACGTACAATAAACCGAAAACTTTAATTTTGCCAGATTTTTAGTCGCTCTAGAGGCAATTATTATATACAGAACATCACATATTTTACAAGGTGAAGGGGATCTGACCAAATACTTAGAGCGGTTGTTTACATGATGATCGGTCAATTTTCCGAGTGTCAAATCAACCAAAACCTAAAGTGACCATTTTTTTATTGTATGGCGTAAAAATTCACTTCAAGAAAAAACATTTTGGAAAATATGCAAGACTTAGAAAGAGGAGTTGTTGATCTATAATCGGTAAAAAGGGTGCAAATATCACGAAATATTGCCAAGCCTTTTTTGGTAGTTGTGTAGGGTATCATATGGTCGGCCCCGTCCGACTATACTGCTCCGCTCACTGGTTTTAATTGTCTATGGATATTAGATGCCCTGGAGACCTTCAAAGTGTGTATGTATATTCCAATTAAATACTGAATATGTCATCCCTTTTGTTTTACTACCGAAATCTGCTTGCAAATAATCCGGAAATCGATTTTCAAGATTTTTCCATTTATCTTCAGTTTCTTTTTCTGCTCCCCAACACTTCATTACTTTTTTTAAAGAAATCAAAGTTTTTCATCTCTAGAAATAAAAAATGAAGAAAAACAAAACTAAATTTGATTTACTGAAGGAATCTCAAACTTAGGTACCCACGCTGCAAAACTTCAACAATTCCCGCACGCAACTTTGCACATCAGACCTGTTGATCCTCTAAACTAAACGCCTTTAATTCCTTGCTCCAGCTATCAATCATGTTTTTTAGTAGTGGCTGTAAATTAGAAATGAAGAGGGAGTGGAAAAAGAATAAAACATAAAAAAAGAGCAACAAGAATAAAAGTAAAGTACATCAATCTTATGTACAACAATCTGTAGGGAAATCGAGGACTCGGATGGGAAGTTAAACAACAGAAAACAAGAAGGACGAAGAATGACGGCAGAGCAACACAAAAGACTGTGACAAAACAACATCTCATTAAGAAATCATTATTTGCAAAGTTTATAACGAACGGTGGTAGCTGGCATTGGATTTGTCGTCTTCCGTCGGATGACGGGGCTGAGCAGCACGGCGATGATAATGGCAACGTGAATTGTGTGCCATTGATGAAGTGATGACATGCCAGTCAGTCATTCATTTGAAGACTAACAAAAAAACAGGTCTTAATGGTGGCTGTTGTCTGTTTTTTTTTATCCAATACCAAGGCAGCCTGTCGTTTACTCCAGTCTAGCCGGAGAAAAACAAGGCTACAAAAAACATTCGAGCAGCTAAAAAAAAAAAAACGGCGTCAAACAGATATAACTCAACTTGACACTTCAATTTCCTTAAAAAAGAAACGAAAACCAGTGAGCGGAGCAGTATAGTCGGACGGGGCCGACCATATGATACCCTACACAACTACCACGAAAAGTACACTTTCGGCGGTTCTATATTCTGAGCCAGGGCAATATTTCGTGATATTTGCACCCTTTGTACCGATTATAGATCAACAACTCATATTTCTATGTCTTGCATATTTTCCAAAATGTTTTATCTTGAAGTGAATTTTTACGCAATAAAATAAAATATTGGTCCCTTTAGGTTTTGGTTGATTTGACCCTCGGAAAATTGACCAATCATCATCTAAACAGCCGCTTTAAGTATTTGGTCAGATCCCCTTCACCTTGTAAAATATGTGATGTTCTGCATATAATAATTGCCTCTAGAGCGACTAGAAAATCTAACAAAATTAAAGTTTTCGGTTCATTGCACCCCCTGAATGAAATCTCAACTTCACCGAAAATTATAAGCGGCGTCCTTGACCATAATCGGAACTTCATGTACAATTTTAAAGCAATCAGCGCGACATTTCCGTCCTCTAATGGAGTAATAGTAATAATATGCACATAGTCACCTTTACTTAATTGCGTATAACTCCCGAATGGGAGTTGAAGGTCAACAACTCATCTTAGACAAACTATCAACATCTCGAGTATATGTCCTTCAGGAGCAAGTATATACGCCCCAGAATAAAAATTTTGTAATTTTTCACACAAAAGTCAGGGTCCATTTGACCCGCTAAATATTGGCCGATCTTTATCAAAACAGGCATGCTTATTCTTAGGTCCGATCCCCTTCTCCATGTAAAATTTCACGACGTTCGGACCATAACTGCGGCCTCTGGAGCGGCCAGAAAAACCGACAAAAATTTAGTATTTGGTCCATTTCATCCCCTAAATATTAACCGATCTTTACCACAAACAATAGGGGTCTTCATTGGCCAGAACCCATCCTACATGCAAAATTTCGTGAAGATTGGTCCATAACTGTGGCCTGTATCGTGTTTACAAATTATAATGGACAGACGGACGGACGGACACACATGTCTAGATCGACTCAGCTAGTCGAGATATGACGATCGGTATACTTTAAGGTGGGTCTAGGACCAATATTTCGCGGCGTTACAAACATTTGTGGCTGCACAAAGCTATAATACCCTGACAACATAGTTGTGTAGGGTATAAAAATGAAACAAAACGCATTTCCTAAAAAAACTGTTGAGCCAGCAGAACCATATCCATTGGGATAAGGTCCTATTCCCTCATTTTTCTCTCTGTGCCAGTAAGCCACGGCACCAACCATCCATCCAGGCTCCTCGCAGAACATTGCCATTATCCTGTTCATCCTAAGCCCCTAACACAAAAAAAGGAGAGAGAAAATCATTTGGATTGAAATAAACAAATTTGGCAGATGTTGGCTGCCTCGTTGAGTTTGTTCGTCGTATCACAGCTCGTTTTTTGTTCCATTCCATTCTTTTCTTGGTACGTGTTCGAATCCCTCAGCATGTTTGGTTGCATGGCTGAATGCCCTGCTGGTCTGTTGTAGTTCGTGTGGCTTGTACATTCATCTGTTTGTTGTTGCTGTTGTTGTTGTTAGTGAGTGATTAATATTATACCGTGACAGTTAAAGGAACAGGTGGCTTCAGCAAATTGCGTTCGTTTGTTTGTTTGTTTGTTTTTTTTCTTCTCTCCTGGTGTATCTTCTTCCAAATTTGGCAACTACCCAAAATCCAGTTAAGGAGACATTTACAAAGACAAGGGATTTGCTGAATGTTATCCTGTGGGATAATCGAGAGAGAAATACTAAAATATTTAAAGGATTTAGGCAACAACCTTGAATTAAATATGTAGATGTTGTAAAAATGGATTCCAACAATATTGAAAATTAGGATGGTAAATCAAAAG